AGGAGGAGGAGGAGGAGGAGGAGGAGGTGGTCTAGGCATGGTGGCCACACCTGGAATGGCAGCTAGTCAAGACAGGGCAGGGGGAGGATCGCTGTTTGAGGCTGAGTCTGGGAAGATGCACAAGAGGCTGAGTCTGGGAAAATGTACAAGACTAAAATAAAAAACCAATTTGATTTAGTTTTATTTTTAAAATGGCTGATGGAGTTGCTCAACTGGTAAAGCTCCTGCCTAGAAAGCACAAAGGACTGAGTTCAAACCCTAGTACTTCAAAAAGAAAAGACTAGATTATGATTGGCTAAGTTAGAATACTAGCTTATAAATTCCAACTTATATATCTAACTTTACTAATTTACAAATGATTAAATATAAATTACATGAAAATCAAAAAACACTTGAAGATGAAAAAAAGCTTTTGCTGCAGAAAATGCAAAGAAGAAAATGATCATAATCTGAGGAGGAAAAATATTTTCTACACACAAATCAAATCAGATAATCTTTGAATGTTGTTCTGCTTAAGCAAAAATACAAAACTCATTGCAAAATAAAATGGCAGCCTGAGTAAAAATTATTTACAACATGTATAAAAAATAAATGGTTAATATCTTTTAGGTACACAGTCCTCCTACAAGTCAATGAGAAAAATATTAACATATTAATATTGATAAAGTAGGGAAATGGAAATTCATGGAAGTACAAATGATTGAAGACCTCATTCATACAAGTGACATGGTTTATAGTTTAAATATTATTTATTTTTACCAAGTAGATTGGTGAAAGTTGAAGACTGATCAAACACAGAGTAGTGATGTCAGGAGCTGGGCATTTTCTTTTAGAATAGGTCACACTGCCCATTTTAGTACCACATATTAACACTTCAAATGAGTGTACCTAAACCCAGCAATTCTACATAGCTCAATTATAAAAGCATGAGAACAAATACCCTAAAAAAGCATCATGTGAAAGAAGGAAGAAACTAGAAACAAAATCAACTATTCATCGGTAAAATAAATAAATTATGACACATTTATCTTATGTAAAACTATGAGATACTAAAAATATTTTTGCATGTGATCACTAAATAAAAATTGCAGATCTAATATGTCTATTATGATGTTGCCTTTTTAAATTTTTATTTTATTGTAAAGATACTGTAGAGAGGGATTATAGTTACATGAGTAAGGCAATGAATTCATCTCTGGTGAGCATTGTTACCCCTTCCCTTGTTGTTCTCCCACTATCCCTTCCCTCCCCTACACCCTCACTTCATAGCATAACACTTTTAAAATCTTTTCTGATATTTTAAAATTGTATCTTCTTTTTTTTGGGGGGGTGGTCCGGTCGTGGGGCCTGAACTCTCGGCCTAGGTGCTGTCCCTCAGCTCTTTAGCTCAAGGCTAGCGCTCTACCACTTGAGCCATAGCGCCACTTCCGGCTTTTTTCTTTTTGTTATGTGGTGCTGAGGAATCAAACCCAGGACCTCATGCATGCAAGGCAAGCACTCTACCACTGAGCCACCTTCTCAGCCCCATGAAAATTGTATCTTCATCATTTTTAGTTGATGCTTATGAAGACAGAGCAGCCATTCTGAGTAGTGACTCCTTTTTTTTTTTTTTTTTTTTGGTCCATGGGATTGAACTCTGGGCCTGGGTGCTGTCACTCAGCTCTTCAGCTCAAGGCTATCACTCTACCACTTGAGCCACAGCGCCACTTCCCATTTTCTGAGTGGTTTATTGGAGATAAGAGTCTTGGACTTTCCTGACCAGTCTGGCTTTGAACTGCGATCCTCAGATCTCAGCCTCCTGAGTAGCTAGTATTACAGGCAAGAAACACCAGAGCCTGGCTTGAGCAGTGACTTTTATGGCAACTTAGAATAGAGCAGGTGGTTTACAATTCAAGATTGCTAAGATTTAAGTCCAGCCAAGTTCCTGATTTACTTTATGAGCCTTCATGTTTGGATTTATGTGAAGAGACTGTTCTCACTTGGAGAAAGTAAAAGAAATGTAATTTGATATTGGACTAGTTTGAATTTTCTGACAGTTTCATAGCATTCAGTGACATGACACATAGCAGGGTAAATACAGGCTATCATAAGAAAATGCAAAAGCAAAAATACATGTGTTTCTCCCTTAGAGAAACAATCATTTCAAATGTAGCTGCAACTAAATTATGCAATACCAAGGTATTGTACAGAAATGTGTGTTTTCTACATTTTTAAGAACCTATATTTTCCCTGTATAGTCTATAGAGGGTTTGTTTTTTGTTTTTTGTTTTTTTTTTGGATTTTAGAAGTTCTTTGAATTAAGCACAACACAAATGGAGTTCATTCTGCCTTATCTTTATGAATTACAAGAGTATACTCCTGAATACTTATGGAGAATTAACCCTCAATGTTTTCATGCCATTATGTTCCTTAAAAAATCATTTAAGGGGCTGGGAAATGGTAGAGTGCTTGCCTTACATGCATGAGGCCCTGGGTTCGGTTCCTCAGCACTACATAAGCAGAAAAAAGCCAGAAGTGGCGCTGTGCTCAAGTGGTAGGGTGCTCGCCTTAAGCTGAAGAGCCAAAAAAAAAAAAAAAAATGAGGGAAGAATGCAGTCAAAAATTCAACGCATAGACTACAAAATTAAGAGAAGTGAGAGAAGCGGTGGGTTAGGAGAGGTGGGTGAGAATGTTACAAAGGTGACACTGATAAATATGCTTCGCATTCATAAACTGGTTTGCTAAATGGCAACTCCTCTGCAAAACTACTTAAAATAATATAAAGAAAGAAAGAAAGAAGAATTTTAAAGAAAAAAATGGATAGTATTCAAATGCTATTAAGAAGACAAGATGATTTTTAATCTGATATTGAAATAATTAGTGGGGCCTAACAGTTATTTTCCATTTTCCTGGTATAGCTCTAAGAAACACTTGCCTGCCCACATTGAAGTGAACAGGGTATATTGTTTGGGCCAGAGATACATAAGTAAATATGTATGCCTCCTATCAAGAAGTTTTAATAGCCTGTATTTGGCTCAGCATGCACTGTTTTCTTCTTTCTAGCATGACCAAAAACATAATGGTAGCTATTTTATCACTTACATGCCAGAAAAGTGATTACAGGGGTAGTTCCCCTTCGGAGTGGACAGGAGCAATTGGAAAAAACAAAAACCATATCACTGACATTTGTTGTTGCTGTTAGTGGTAGTGGTGGTGGTGGTCCTGGGGCTTGAACTCTGGGCTTAGGCACTGTCCCTGAGCTCTTCAGCTTAAGGAGAACACACTACCACTTGTACCACAGTGCCACTTGCAGTTTTCTGGTGGTTAGTTGGAGATAAGAGTCTTACAGACCTGAACCGTCTGTGTCCAGCTAGAATTGCCAAGTTTATAAGATCTTCCTGAAAATAACCACTCTTGATAAACATTATTCCAAGTTTATTATAAAATCATTTTAAACTTGAAGCCAGTCAGCACTGAAATTACATGAGTTGCACACAGCTACAAACAGCAACATATACACATCACTATTTAATCCCTTATACAATCTGAGTATGAAAGCACAAAATACATTTCTTCACATAACAAGGAAAAATATATTTGACCTCTGATTATAATGTCTCAATAACAAGTTGAAGTTCAACATTATTTTCCAGGTGGTGAATTATTCTGAAAACAGGGTAAAGAACCAAGAAAATACACATTACTACCCCTTGTTTATTTAATTATAGACAGTCAATTTGGAGCAATGTTGGTAAACAACTGAAGCTAGAAAGAATTTTCACAAAAGCTCTCTCTATATGTTTAACAAGTGCTCTTATTTAGGTTCTAAATTCAAATTATGCAGAACAGTAAATCAGACTTTATTTTTAAGTCTGCAAGTGAGAAAATTGAGACCATTTGTCTTAACAGTTAGCTTTACAGACAATTAGAAGCAATTCTTCTGTCTCTAGAAAAATATTTAAAGAGAAGTTTTCTGTTACCTACTTTAAACCATCAGTAAAAAGTCTCATGCTCTTAGAAGTGCTTATGGCCAATTACCAGTCAGCATTCATTTTGCATTCACAACCACGAATACCATATACATTTTCATTTCCTTCAAAAATAAATCACATTTAAAAGTCCTGTTTTAGGCCTATGCATCACTTGCCTTGAAAAACAGAATTCTCTAGAAATCATTTGTGTGAGTAGTAGTGTGTATTAATTAATATGATACTAATTAATGCAAAAAATCCACTTATTCTGAAGGCCTGGTAATAAATTTTAACACAGAGCTTAAAGCATTCAAATGGATGAAACTGTGGAAACTATTACTAATATTTGTTTGAAGATATCAGCACAAATATATTGCCATGTGCAATATTTCGGACAGTACTCCCAGCTAGGGTGCATTGTCCAGTGAGTTATCAAATCTCTGTGCTGCACTTACTGAACAGAAACAAAATTACAAAGTCAGAATTCACACTGTAGTCCTTGCTTTAACTGCTTTCTTTAAAAAGCCTAACATCAAGAAAACAGCCACTCTTTTACTAACTTTTTAAAATTTTTGATGTTTAAATTATGGGCTTAACATTATCTTAGGACCAATTAGTTTTTCTGAAAGCAGATAATACTTATTCCAGAATGTATATAGTCATCCCTTTGCTCCCCAAAGTCTAGTATCTCACACAGGTTCAGGTCAGGTAGTACCCATGCAGAGAGACATGTACAGAGTAACACAGTGGCAATAACTTACAATTCTGCCATTGTATTAGAAAGCCTCAGAGCCTCTAGGCTTCTCAATTGAAATTAGAGATGTTTATTCCCAACACCATGAGGAAGGGTAGAGATTGAGTTCTTTGACTTGGGTTCACACTCTGAAGTAAGTATGGGAAATAAATATCTGCTCTGAAAGTAGCCAACCCATCTGAAAATTCTGTGCTTGAAGTGCTCATGAACACATGAGAACATTTATGCAGTGCAAGAGTTATCGCAAATTGCAGTAGCTTTCTTTTAGACGTATAATATACATGCATGCAGACACATATGCACTACAATAACCAATAGATTACTGTCAGCTTCAATTTATGTGCAAAAACTTTTCAATCCCATATTTAACTTGTACCAAGAAATTCTTCTAATTCAACATGGTAAATATTTCTCCCATATCTATCTAATGTACTTTTGTAAGAATGAACTCTGGCTGGAATATGTAACTCAGTAATAGATACTTGCTTAGCATTCACAAGGCCTTGGATTCAACTCTCAACACTACCAAAACAAGCCATTTTATGTTATTTATCACTGAAGAGTCTTAAATTAAGAATATCATGTGCCTGTGTGTGCCTCTGTGTGTATTTGTGTGAATGATTTTTTTAACTCAATACAAAATGATCACACATAAACCTTCAGTGACACTATTCAATTCCTTTTTGTTTGCTCATGAGAATTTACCAAAATTTACAAGTTGACAACTTTCACAGTAAGTTACCAGATCAAGAGCAGAAATTTATGAACATAATTTAAGTCTAAAAGAATTCACAGATTTACCTTGCATGCAGGAAGAAAAAATAATTTTAAATTAGATAAACATAGAGAAAGCAAAAAAAAATTTTTAAGTAGAAATGTAAGCGGGCACCGGTGGCTCATGCCTGTAATCCTAGCTACTCAGGAGGCTAAGCTCTGAGGATCACGGTTCAAAGCCAGCCTGGGAAGGAAAGTCTGTGAGACTCTTATCTCCAATTAACCACCAGAAAACCAGAAGTGGTGCAGTAGCTCAAGTGGTAGAGCACTTGCCTTGAGTTGAAGAGCTCAGGGACAGTGCCCAGGCCCAGAGTTCAAGCCCCACAACTGACAAAAAAAAAGTAGAAATGTATTTCCTTATTATAAAGTAGAACTACCTACCATGGTTTCTGATTGGCCTAAAACATTTTGAATGCATGCTAAAGTTAGGGGATTAAATTATTCAAGCAAGCAAAAAAAAAGTCTGCATTATTAGTGGTCTCTGGTTAACCATTTCAAACAACTACAAATATCTGGCTAATTTCCAATCTCCTCCTCAACACTAGTAACACAGATTTTAGAAGATATGACCATACAGAATTGGTGAAGCTGCCATCAGCAGAATTTCCTGTGTATGTGTATGTGTATGTGTGTGTGTGTGTGTGTGAGTGTGTTATACACTAGCTACAAACAGCCTTTCAACATGATGTCTTCTCTTTCTTTTATTCTCTGACACAGAAATGATGACTCAGAATTAAGACCTTCTACCAATTAATACTCCTTATACATAACATTGAGAATTTGAGTTTTCACTTGTACTTTTCATGGGAGAGCTCTTGAGGAATTGTTATCTGCAAGTTGTCTATATCAGTGTTAAGATAGATCTTTCACCCTCCAAAATTTATTGAGTACCAGTACACTACTTATTTCAGAATAAAGAGAGATTATTTAAACATTGAACGTCTATAAGTTGCCAAAATACCTTAGAATAACAACTGATCTCCAAAATAATAAAATTGAGAAGTCATATTTGTCAAGATGACAAGAATGGGCCTATTCTAAAGAACCTGGCAAAGGCAGGCCAATCTCCTATCAGGCTGATCTGGCAGAGTAGTGGTGGTTATAAGCCACAGTGAGTCCCAGTAATCATGATAATGCATGCACTGATTGAGGCTATATAAAGACTTCACTCTGTATTTCATAGAACCTACCTATTCGGAATAGCTGCACAGCAGTAATCCCCAAATTAACATCTCTGTGCAGGAATTTTTAAGGTGTTTGTTCTCCAGTAATATGTCAAATAAATGCACGAGGCCTCAATAGATTCATTTATTCCAAAAGCATGAATCACACAGGGAAACTCAGTTATTTTCTACCTGACTCCTGTAGCATTATTTCATTCTACCTCCAGTTGACAAAAACAAGTGAAAATGTGCATCCGGGCAGCTAACTTAAATTTTAAAAGCCAGATCTGACCAAACTAACCACCCTACTCCCCCCCCCCCACCAAATTACATGCTGAGGTCTGAATTTTCCAGTTAGGCTGCATATATATATATATATATATATATATATATATACACATATACATATATATATATCTTTATCTTGTTAACTGAAATTTGACCAAAACTATTAATTTTGTTCTAGCCCTACACTGACTTACTATCCAATTAAATTAGGTGCTTGTGGATTTATTTTCTCTGTAACTGGTGACTCAGAAATAGCAGCAACCTTTAAAGAATTTTTAATGGAGCTAAGCTCCCAAATGTGTAAGCTGATGATCTGCACTCCACAACAGCGCCTGGCGAGCTTGTAGAGATTCTTCAGGACAGCCTTTCTCAGGAGAATATACACCCAAGGATCTAAGATTTGGTTCCATGTTGCCATTCGAAGAGCGAAAAGTATTGTTTCACAGGTCTCTAGAGAATGGTTCCCATTTATTCCAATGTTGGCCATGGTTGCCTAAAAAACAAAGAAAATAAGAAAAATTGGTTGAGGACAGACATTTTTCAGTCTAACAGATTTTTTAGTAGAATGACATTCCTTCTATTATCCACAAAGTGATGTCACTTTGCACAGTCATAAGTGACGGTATAACCACTCACAAGCATTTGAATCTTTTAGATTTAAGTTGACATCAAAGATACAAAAAATGATAGCTGCTGTCTGTCATCTGTGCACTCACAGAATGACTCAAGGGAGAACATGGTTGAAACCAATGACAAGCCTTCTTATGCTTCTGGGATAGTCATTTCAAAGCCAACATACTTCTCAATATTTCAGTGAAAACCACCAAAGGAAATATTTTGTTCAAATATAAACAAAATCAACTACTAATAAGTTAACAAAGCTGAGCAACAGTGGCTCACACCTGTAATCCTAGCTACTTAGGTGGCTGAGATCCGAAGATCATGATTCCAAGCCAGCCTGGGGAGGAAAGCCTATGAGACTTATTTCCAATTAACAATCCAAATGCCAGAAGTAGAGCTGTGGCTCAAGTGGTAGAAAGATAGCCTTGAGCACAAAAGCTCAGGGATAGTTCCCAAACCCTGAGTTCAAGCTTCAAGACTGCATAAAAAAATCAATTCATCAATTAAGAAGTCATTATAAACAATGAAGTTAGAACATTTGACCTTAATTTTCTAAGGCATATGAGATTTTCTGGAAAGTTCCTTAAAATTAGTAAGAGATGTTGCTAAAACCAGTGTCTTAAGATGTACATGTTATCCAAATTTTAATTTGGCTCAGATATTCTTGTAAGCATACAGTGGAACTTTCTGGGGCTTCATGAAAATGAGTCCACCTCCACATTTCCCTTGTGACTTCCATTTCCTGACCAAGTGCAACTGTAAAGAGCTCGTGCTGTGGAGTCTATTCCATAAATGGCCCCAGCTGTGTGTCCGAAGTCAATGAGTCCTTGGCTTCCAAATCCTTATATCAAAGAACAAATAACCAATAAATGAATAAAAGATTACATTGAAATTTTAAATAGTGCTTGGATCATTGTATCCATCAGATTAAGAAATGCTAAGCTATTTTTTATTAATAAGTGTTTTATTGTGAAAATACCATACAGAGGGGTTACAATTACATGAGCAAGGAAATGAGTACATTTCTTATCAAGCATTGTTGCCTCCTCCATTTTTCCCCCTTACCATCCCTGCCCTTCCATCTCCTCCCACCCCCCCACCCCGCCCCACACACACCAAAGTTGTAAAGTTCGTTTTTCGACATAACGTCCTGTACATCTCATTGTTGCAATGGGTCCACCTGTATCTTTATTTAAACAATTATTTTTTCCCTTCCCCTCCACAAATTATACCAACATCAAATACAGTGAAAACAGGGGTTATACCATGGAGGAGGGTCATACAAAGCAACAAAGAAATTCTCTTATAAACATGTTAGAAACAATAGCAAGAAATAAAAACAATTTGGAAAAAATTATATTAAGTGAAGTAAGCCAGGCCCAAAGAAACATAGATCCCATGGTTTCCCTTATTTGCAATAAATAGTATATGCCTGAGACAAGCAGAAACAGTCAGACAAGTTGATGTTAGGTGAAATGAACACCAAAATAAGGACTCAAATAGAAATGATAAGTTCTTTGTTTTTTTTTGGTCCGGTCGTGGGGTCTGAACTCTGGGCTTGGGCACTGTCCCTCAGCTCTTCAGCTCAAGGCTAGCGCTCTACCACCTGAGCCACAGTGCCACTTCCGGCTTTTTTTGTTTTTGCTTGTGTGGTGCTGAGGAATCGAACTCAGGGCCTCAGGCATGCAAGGCAAGCACTCTACCACTGAGCCACCTTCCCAGCCCATGATAAGTTCTTTTAGAACTTAAAAACCAAAATGAAAACCATTTACAGAAAGGCCTTCTATAGTTATGTTTACTTGCACTGATGGCATCAAAGGTTGAAGGACAAAGGTATCTTATCCAAACTTCCTCTGTCCACAACATGAAAAACAAACTCTTCAGCTAGGTTCTTGATGATGTACCTGAAAAACATACCTCCATATGCATGTCTCCTAAAAATACCCTATGCTCCAAATCTTAGAGAAAACCTCACTTGTCCAGGTCGACTGCTCCTTTTGAGATTTTGCAACTCTGTTTTGAACCCTTATCATCTGACCAACTTTTATCCATCCAAGCCCCACACAAAAATAAGCTATTTCCATATAACTTTTCTCATCTCCAGAACAATGAATCATCAATCCAAGTTGTGTTCCCACAGCACCTTGCCTCTGCCTCTGCCCAGTTACATCACAACAATGCATAATTGTACATTTATCTGTATATCTATGAGCATCTTTTAAAAGGTTATTTTATTTTTTTAACCTGTTCTCGGGGCCTGGATCTGTCCTTGTGCTTTTTTGCTCAAAACTAACACTATCACTTGAGCAACAGCTCCACTTTTCTGTTTTTGGTGATTTGTCAGATATAAGAATCTCACAGATTTTCCTGCCTACGTTGACTTTGAACCATGATCCTCAGATCTCAGCCTCCTGAGTAGCTAAATTACAGGCATGAGCCACCAGCACCAACTTTTAATATCTAACATTCAATAAAAGCTGCTACATATTATTGTGAACATACTGTACAGAGGGGTTACAATTACATGGGCAAGATAATGAGTACATTTCTTATCAAGCATTGCAGCCTCCTCCTTTGTTTCCCCTTCCCATCCCTTCCCATCTTCCCCTCACCTCCCTACTCAATCCCCCCCCCCCACACACCTAAATTGTAAAGTTTGTTTTAGACATGTTATGTCTTTATTTCTTAAGGCTATTTCTAAAACCACAACTAATCATTACAGAAACCTATGACCATCTATCACAAGGGTTTACTATTGTGCTTCTGAAAGTTTTAATATAGCAGCACCCACTAGTGAAGAATTCCAGTGTGATTTGTTGGCACAAAAAGAGCTGAAATCACTTGGGAAATGGTATCTTTCCCAGGAAAGACACCAAACTGCAGGCCTAAATATTTGTAACTAAATGGACTAAGATAAAAATAGTGTTTTCTGCACAATATTATCTAGATCAAACACAGACTCATTGTTTCCCAAAATTAATCAATAAGATTATCTTTAGAGGCCCAGTTCCTCCTAGAAGAAAGCAGAACCAAGACTTAATTCTCAATTGGGTCAGATATTTTCACTTTATATTTTTCTCTTTTTTTGCAGGGGGGGGGGTCCGGTAGTGGGGCCTGAACTCTGGGCCTGGGCGCTGTCCCTCAGCTCTTCAGCTCAAGGCTAGCACTCTACCATTTGAGCCACAACACCACTTCTGGCTTTTTTGTTTTTGCTTATGTGGTGCTGAGGAATTGAACCCAGGGCCTCATGCACTCAAGGCAAGCGCTCTACCACTGAACCACCTTCCCAGCCCCTCACTTTATATTTTTCTTTATTGATCAATTATCTTCTGTATGCCCGGCAATATGCTAGGCACCAAGGACACAATGATGGCCACAGAAGACAATGTTAGCTTGAAAAAAAAATTTTTTTTTTGGGCCAGACCTGAGGCTTGAACTCAGAGCTTGGGCAATATCCCTGAGCTTTTGCTCAAGGCTAGCATTCTACCACTTGAACTACAGCACCACTTCTGGTTTTTTTGTTTGTTTTTTTTTTCTGTTTATGTGGTACTAAGGGATCAAACCCAGGGCTTCATGCATGCTAGGCAAGCACTCTACCACTAAAGCCACATTTCCAGCCCTTAGTTTGAAAGTTTTGTTTGGTTCAATGATGAAAAATAATTATATCTTCACAAGTATAAAATACATGCATTTTTGATTAACTATTGGATATGTTCATGGGTATGTCATAGCCCAGATAAGACACTGATTTGGGGAATAAATGAGCTCTTTATCATTTTAAAGAACAGTTTAGCATTGCTTTAGAGGCACACACATTTAAAGAGCTTTAGTTAGTGGGTAGCTGCAAATCGTAGTGTGGTCACAAATGATGAAAAGAAGATGAGTCCTGTGCTGAAGGGACCTAGCATTCTCTCCAAAGTGTACTCTCGTTCTCTCTGTCTCTCTCTCTCTGTTTCTCTCTATCTCCTCTCTCCATTCTCCTCTCTCCCCTCTCTTCTTTCTTTCTGTGTCAACAGCATAGAGAAGTTGATTTAGAACCTAGTTTGGGGGAAGCATTTGTTATTTAGCTATTATGTTATTGTTAATAATAACACATTTTTTACAATTCAGGATTATCAATGTAGAAGAGATAAATTATGGTAATTTCACATAATACAATGAAATGCAGGCATTAATGTTGGTGATTCGGTGTTAACATTAAAAACTCACAAATTTTTATTAAATACATTTTCTATTTTTAAAATGTTATATTGCATAGAATAAAAAACGGATGTGGATATCAATGTTTTCATTGGTTAACTAAATAGTCAAAGAACAAAGAAGTTTGATTCTTTTGTTTGTTTGTCTCCAATTTACTAATTTTCAAATAGTTTGCAAATTACTTTTGGAAGTTCTTCTCCACCCTATCCCCCACTAAGGAGTTGATGGAAATACACCACATGAGTAAAAGAATTAGAAGTCATGTGGATTGTTTATGCACATCTGTGTATGTAAGTGAACAGGAACAGAAGGTGCCCAGAATTGCCTGGAAAACTTGCTTTAATAAAACTGACAGGAGATGTGTGGAAGTTGAGGTCAGGATGAGGAATGTCTGAAAGCTGGGCAGACAAACACAATTTGTAGTCCTTCTCCCTGGACCCTGATGACAGGTCCTCCCCAGGCCTTGACAGCATTCTTCTCTGGCGGGACCACCCAGGCTGACTTTCCAGACAGCTGTATACAGATTTCTTATAAACACACATTTTGCTTTCACGTAGTTTCCAAGAGCTATCCAGCACGTGGAACTAAAGAAGATATGTTAATTTCCTTGTTATATTACAGTTTGTTCATCTTTAGTAGTGATTACAATTTTAACCAAGAAATTAACAGGACTAGGACCAAATGGTTGGACAGTCTATGTTTTTAAAAAACATCAATCCAGTAACCTGATAGTCTTTACAAAACTAAACACAAAGAAACAGTAATGTCAACTAAATGTATAAAAATGGATTTTGTCCATTCTTAGTTTTCAAAGAGCAAAATATGGATGATACTAGAAAATATTCATAAACTTGGACCATAAAATACAATCATATCACCCAAATTAAAAAACTACCTGGGCTACTTTATTCATTGACAGCAGAGCCCCTCCAATGTTAGGTACAGTCATTATTCCAGCATATTCTACTTTGTGCACATTTGTTAACTAGGATCGTGATACTAACCATCATTTACAAGAAAAAACAGTGGTAAGCCAATCATAAGGTATACTGTTGTAATTACACCCCTTGGGAGATCAGCTCAGCAGGATCACAAGGTTGAGTCCAGCCTGGCTAGTACAGTAAGACACTGTTTCAAAAATAAATAAATAAGAGGAGGCAACAATGCTTGATAAGAAATGTCCTCACTATCTTGCCCATGTAATTGTAACCACTTTGTATGGTATTTTCACAATTTAAAAAATCTAAAAAAATAAAATCAATAAATAAATAAACAAAAAGAAAAAGAAAAAACAGCTGTGGCAAATTGAAGAATTTATTGAACCTTTATAAAAGTATGTCAGTCTAACAGCAAATAGTTCTTAACTGTGTACTCTATATAAGCATTGTACTAGATGCCAATGACACAGAGAAATTATATCTAACAAATGCTGTGCTTTGCTTGGCTTTTTTAAGCCATGTGGATTTTATTTGTCTCTGGTACTATACTATAACCTTCTTGAAAGTACTTATTTTGGTCTGATTAATTATCTGCTCTGTCCTAGCACCTGGCATATAGCAAGGCCAATATTTGTTCAATAAATTGAATGAATGAAGACTTTATGAAGGGAAAGCAACAAGAAAACAGTTATGCGGTAGTTAGCACAGCAATGACATAAAAGGTGCAAAACTATTACATATCATCATATATGCAATCATTTAAAAGTCTAAGTTTTCCCACATTTTTCTAGTACTTTAACATTTCAGTTACTCAGATTTGACTAATTTTGAGTTTATGATGATTCTGCTACAGTTTGTCTGAATTTTCCCTTAACAAAACTACTTTATTAAGTAAACTTAATACCTAATCCAGATCCTTTCTGGTGAAATGTCCCACTTCTTAGGTGATAAAACCCTTCTTTAGAATTTTATCAACATCTACATTTGGAGGGGAGGTAATACTGAGACTTGAACTCACGGTGTCATGTTTACTAGTTGATGAAACACATATTTTAATATGAGCAATGTCTATTAAGAATTACACATAATTCTTGACTGGTCATTGGAGCACATACTTCCCACTAGATCCTCATAGTCCAAGAAGCAGATCACTTTTATTCCTCCTTTATGTCAACAATGAAGACTAGTCCCGAGATAATTTCTTTAAGAAATGAATGTGTACAAAACGTAGAATCCACTGGTATACTATTAATTGTCCAAAGACTAATTTTTTAATTTTGTGCTTAAACTATGGAAGGTCAATTATTATAGTCTAACTACAATCCATCCTTACCATGTAAGGGAAGATTCACCTGGAAAAACTTGCTTCAATTCCATGAAATCTCCAGAGATAAAAGTTTTATCTGCATTAGTTTGCTTCTATGTGTTAGTTTCTCATGTCTGAAGAAAGCTAGAGTTTGAAAGCTCAGAACACCTCAAAGTATTTGCAAGTGAGAAATTTAATTTTAAATTATCTTCAATGGCAGGTTTGGGTAGAAATATTACATAAATCATTGACCCTATCTCAACAGGCTATTTTTAGAATTAAATATTTGTAGTGACTTGTAGTCTCTATTATTTGGAATTGACTCCAGCTCTGTGCAATTGCTAGGTAAGCATTCCACTGCTGAGCTACACCCGGCATTTTTGCACTTTTTAATTCTATTTTCAAGATAGGGTCTTGCTAAATTTGCTGATTTTTGCTTAATCCTTCAACCTCTACTTCTTGAGTACTTTGGATTACTAGCACACACCAGGAATATTAACAACAGAATATTTTATCATGGAAACAGTGACTACAAGAACCTCCATGGGGGGAAACAACTTTTGTGCAATTCTAGAATAATATACTTTAAAAAAATACCTATAAGCTACTCAGAAAGCTAAAATCCAGGTAATCATAGTTCAAAGCCAATTTGGGTAAAATAGCCCATGAGACACCATCTCCAACAAAACATAAAAAATAAACAAGCCAATAAATAAATCAAGTATAGAGTACAAGTTAAGTGAATTCAAGCTAGTTTAAATCTTGGAATCAGGAAAAAAAATTAAAGCTGAATACTTCTTTGCAAAATAGCATTTTCCACAGTATGGAGGTTCCTCAAAAGACTATGCATAGAGCTCCCCTATGACCCAGCAATCCTACTTCTGGGAATTTACCCAAAGGACCACAAACAATGCCACACTAAAGCCACTAGCACAATCATGTTCATCACAGCATATTTACCATGGCTAAGATATGGAACCAACCCAGATGCCCCTCAGTAGATGAATGGATCAAGAAAATGTGATATATATATACACACACACACACACACACACACACACACACATATATATATATATAGAGAGAGAGAGAGAGAGAGTGGAATTATATACTTCCATCAGAAAGAATGGCATTGTCCCATTCATAAGAAAATGGAAGGACTTGGAAAAATCATATTAAGTGAAGTAAGCCAAACCTAAAGAAACAGAGTACCGATAGTTTCCCTCATTTGTAATAATTAGTATATGTCTAGGACAGTCCTAGCAGATGAGCAGAATATCTCAATATGATCATATAAGATGATGCTAATCAAAATGAACTCCAAAACATGGACACAGACATTTTTTTGGTTATTATTGTTTTTAATGTTCTTTTTTCTTTTATTTTCTTTCCTTTGGTTCATCGCCTGTTGTCACTGTATTTGATTTTGGTACCTTGGGTATTGCATATATGTTTATCTGAATTAGGGAAGGGAAGGGGAACGATAAATTGGTGAGACAAGGGAGAAAGGGCGAACCAATGAAACAACAATACTCACAAGAACTGGGGAGGAGGAAAAGTGGGAGAAAATGGTGAAGGGGGTAACAAGTTTGGCAAGAAATGAACTCATTTCCTTGTGTATGTAACTGTAACCCCTCTGTACATCACCTTGACAATAAATTTAAAAATAGCATTTTCCATACCTAATTTATATAAATTTCTACACTAAAACTTGTTCAACCACTTTAGAAAGCAATATGGAGGTTCCTCAAAAGACTTCACATAGAGCTCCCCTATGACCCAGCAATCCCACTTTTGGGTATTTACCCAAATGTTTATAAACAAGACCACACTAAAGCTACCAGCACAACTATGTTTATTGCAGCATTATTTACCATAGCTAAGAAATGGAACCAACCCAGATGCCCCTCAGTAGATGAATGGATCAAGAAAAGGTGGTATTTATACACAATGGAATTCTATGCTTCCATCAGAAAGAATGACATTGCCCCAAATGGAAAGGCTTGGAAAAAATTATATTAAGTGAAGTAAGCCAGGCCCAAAGAAACATAGGTCCCATGGTTTCCCTTATTTGCAATATCTAGTATATGTATGAGTCAAACAGAAAAGGTCAGATAATGTGATGTTAGGAAAATGAACCCTTAGATATGTATTTAAATGTTTTTTTCTTTCATGCATTTGTTTCTAACTCATTTATAAGATTATTTCTTTGTAGCTTTGTATGTCCCTCCCCCACAGTATAACCCCTGCTTTCACTATATTTGATGTCAGTATAATTTGTGGAGGAGATGGGGAAAAAACAAGTCGTTTAAGGATACAGGTGGACCCGATGCAACTATGAGAAGTACACGTTGTCATGTCAAAAACGAACTTTACAACTTTGGTGAGGGGGGGGAATTGGATGGGGGAAGGGGGGTGGGGGAGGGGGAGGCTGGGAAGGAATGTGAAGGGTAAACAAAGGAGGAGGCTGCAATGCTTGATAAGAAATGTACTCATTATCTTGTCCATGTAATTGTAACCCCTCTGTACAGTATTTTCACAAAAAATAAAAATTAAAATTAAAAAAAAATAAATTTCTACACTATGGATTATAGAAGCTAAGAATATTTCAATTGTTTCTAATTTATTAACAATTATTCAATCTCTTTTGGCCAGTCCTAGGGCTTGAATTCAGGAACTGGGCACTGTCCTTTTAGTTATTTTATGCAAAGGTAGTGCTCTACCACTTGAGCCACACCACTTCTGGCCTTTTTGTGTACATGATACTGAGGAATCAAACCTAGGGCTTCATGCATGCAACCACTCTACCTCTAAGCTACATTCCAGCCTTTAACAATTACTCAAATGGAGACATTATTTTGCATATCGTGAATGATTTGGAGGGAAGACAAAAATTTTGCAACAGGGGGTAAAGATGAAGAAGTGTGTGGCATTTCTTGTGTCCCAGCTCTGGAATCACTTTAAATGATGCTCACACTCAAAGTAGACATCAGGAGTGCAAAACATACATATTTACAAAGATTAGTGCTTTTCTGCTTTGATTTGTTCATAGAGGATTAACAGATGACCCAATTGACAGCACATACCATTTCTACCTAAAAGGATCTTCAGAGATACAATGAAAAAATAGGACACACTATAGAGATGCTGCTTCCTGTGGAATGAAACAATCCTAAACCCTAACACTTCACAAACATCTGTACTCTTGCATAGCAGCAGAAGAAATGATCTGCAAAATAAATAGGAGAAATGTGATTCAAATATATCTTCGAGAAAATAATAAATGAGCTGGGTGCCAATGGTTTACAACTATAATCCTGTTTACTCCAGAAGCTGAAATATAAAGATCATGGTTTTAAGCCAGACAGTGATACTCTTATCTCTAACTAACCACTTAAAAAGCTGGAAACTTTACAGCTTCGGTGTGAGAGGGCAGGAGTGGGGGTGGGAGGTGGGAGATGGGAAGGGATGGTAAGGAAAAACAAAGGAGGAGGCAACAATGCTTGATAAGAAATGCACTCATTACCTTGCCCATGTAATTGTAACCCCTCTGTACAGCATTTTCACAATAAAAAAAAAGCTGGAAATGGAGCCATGGCTCAAATGGTAGAGCACTTGCCTTTAGTTGAAGAAGCAAAGGGATAGCACCTAGACCAAGTTCAAGCCCTAGTACTGACACAAACAGAAAGAAAAGAAGGAAATAGAAGGTTACATTTGCAGTCTATATATGTATATATACATATTTAATTTGTAATTATAGTATAAGTATATACAAACTGTATTCCATAGATATACAATAAATATATAATATAGAATTTGTATATTATATATAATATAATTAAATTTTAATTATAGATACATCAATATATGCATATATTTATAGATATATAAATCCTCATAAAATTTACAAAGGTAGTTGCTATTTTCCTGACAGGATCCTTAAAAAAAAAGTCAAAGATGTTAACTTGCCTTCCTGTATTCACACTGCTAGAAAATGATAAAAGCAATATTCCAACCCAATTCTACCAGGCTTCAAAGCCTCTGATCTTTTACTGTCTCTTTCCTAAGAATGAGCCCTGTGTTGACATATTAGATTTATGAACAAGATGATAAAATATTATACCACAAAAACTGTGTACTAACCATATGTTGTAATACTTATGATACTTTCATACTGTTATTTTTCTGATATCAGTAATCCTATTGCCAATCACTTACTGTAAGATATTGTTGTCAAGGCATAAGGAGGTTAACTTGTCCAAGGCCACCCAACAAGAGTATGTTAGAGGCAAGATTTGAGGGGCAGGAGCTAAGCAGGAATTCATACATTGGCCTCTTGGGCATTAGTAGATCACACTTCATACTCTATAATTCTATTTCTGTTTTTCAATGTCTAGTTGTCTTTCTAGCTGATTCTAGCATGTTCTAATCTTTCATTTCACTAGCAGCATTTTTAAAACAAAAACCAACGCTGAAAGGAGTGACATTGATCAAGATATAGTATATTCATAAACCACCTTGTTAAATTACAACTCCTTTGTACAACTATTCAAGGATAATTTAAAAAACCCAATGTCAATAAGCATTTGCTCCAAATCTCTTGTGCTCACAGAAAAAGCTATAACTGACAAACCAGAAGATTTGAGCACATATAACTTAGCTGTCCACCAGAAATCATTTGTCAATCATGATTATACGCAAACAAAGAAGAGCTGTCTGTCTCAAAATTTAAGAAGTAATTTTAGAAAATATTATCTGACAAATGCAAAGTGATATAAGACAATGTCCAGTATCCTTTTCTCCCTCTTCATATATTCCCCAAAACAAATGGGATGACTTTCATTTTTGTAGCCTCCTCCCTCTCATCCTTTAGGTTGGAATTCAGATATACTTTCCAACTTCATTTTTAACTGTTTTTAATCCAAATTTATCTATTATTCCAGTTCTTATCCGTAGTCCATCATTTCTATATTTCTCAATTTGGAAAACTTAAAAATCAATAGACAAAATTATGAGAGTCTTGGATATCAAAAAATGTTTGTATATATACCCTGTCTTGTTATAACAAGAATTTAAAGCACTTTATGCTTAAAAGCATTGGAAATTCGGACTCTTTCCAACTATGATGATGTCCATTAAACTTACAGTTAAGCTAATAAAATATTGCTTATGCTCCAAATATAAACATAAGACACTTTCATCTTAACAAAAAAATGTCTAAATACCATTGCCAGAACAATCATTAACATCAGGTCTATAAATTTAAAAGAAAACAGCTAGTTGGCAGTTAGTTGCAGTATTGGACATGCTTTGTTCCATGAGCAAAAGACTATTTGACTGCTTGCAACATTCCTTTTATAGAAAAAGCAGACACTTTGCAAAAGCAAGGTGTTTCAGTAAACCATCTATCTTGAAATTTATTGTTTTTCCAGAGAGGAATTTCCAACCAGCTCAGTTGGTTTATTATATTGGAATATTGGAATGATTTCCCAAAACATTTTCTAACTTGCCATTTAATGGGAATTTTTAATGTAATGGTGTCCCTTTAAAAACAAATAGCAACCATAAATTTTAGAGAAAATAAGTATTCAGAAAAGCCAATCCAAACTTAATTCAAAGCTCTTCAGTAACTTTATAGATATTACCATACCATACCATACCAAACAAATGAGACTAGAACATAGCTAGTAAGGAGCTAGGCCAGAATAACAAGCAATGACACTGAAGTATAATGAAAATATATTTTAAGATGCAATCCATATACACTTCTGGTCAGGAAAGAAATGGCCATTTCTAATATCCAGTCATATTTCATCATTGTATTTGAATCAATCTGGTCATTTGGTTACACTGACAAGACAACTTAAGGTTTTGTTGACTTTTTTAAAAATCCTGAATTATTTCCTCTGAAATTATATAGACTCTTGATTTTTTTGTGGTACCTAACTAGCAAGCTAAAAAACTTCTTTCTTAGGTACAACAATATAAACATTACTAGAGTTCTCTAGATAACTTATTGGCTTAAACATTTGATCCAATTCATTCTCACCCCTGTAATTCTTAGCCCTATAAATACACATCCTATGTTATGGCCTAAAATATCAACCACAACGTTCCATCCATAATCCATTTGCTCTGTGAAACATCAGTACCCCACATGGTTCTTTCACTTGTCATGTTGTCATGTATTTATTTCTCAACTGCATCTGAAGCACATGCCATAGATTTATGAAATCAGCAAGAAAAAGACTATCGTCTAGATACCTCCGAAGAAAATGTGCAAAGTCTATGTCTGCTACATAACTGGCACTGAAATAAATACTCAAAGAAAGAAGGAGTAAAAGAATGAGAAGAAATTTTAGGATTCATAGAAATTACAAATTATCCCTCTTCTTTGGCCCTAGGCTGAGCATATAGTAAGAGTATAGTTTTCAACTAGTATGTAAAATCTGAAATACGCAGAACTATCCCAACATGCTTCGGGGACTTCATCCTCATCATAAATAAATAAACAGCCAACATTTATCTACAAAATTCCTTATGCTCTTACATTCAAAATATAATTAAAGAAAGATTTGGTGGATTGTGAGAATACTTTTTTTCCAGGAGGTCTTCATTTCTCTTTTTGGTAAAAAGACTAGGTTATTGAAGTTATAAACTTAGTCCTTAAAAATTAGCCTAAGCACATCTCTACTATGTCTCTTTGGCATGATTTTAGAGATGCAATTACAATGATGTTTCTACATCCCACTAACTGCCACTTCAGAAAGAACTCAGAAAAGCTGTCATTTACTAAGTATTTGCATACTAGTTATAATTAACAAATTACAGTAAATTCTTCTGTCAGTTTAAGAACATTGAAGACTGAGAAGCCATCAACTAAGGCTTAAATATAAGTTTTACTACAATATGAAACTTGCTACCTGTATGCCATTTAAATTTTTAAATAAAGATTCTGATTTTTAACTAAAATCAGAACCTTCACAGTGAAAATATGTGATTATTATGTTGATGCTCTTTCTAGAAGAAAAAAATTCTAGCTAGCACCAATAACATTCTCATTTTGATGATAAGGGAAAACACACAAAAGGAGCTTACTTACTTGTCTAAGGCCAAATAGTTGTTAATGAAAATCTAGCACCAAATGTCATTTTTTTCTAGTCCTAGGCCTTGAACTCAGGGCCTGGACACTGTCCTTGTGCTCAAGATAAGCATTCTACAACTTCATCCACGACTCCACTTCTAGCTTTTGGGGGGTTAACTGGCAATAAGAGTCTCATGGAGTTTCCTGCCCTGGCTGGCTTTGAAGCTTGATCCTCAGATCTCAGCTTCTTGAGTAAATAGGACTGTAGGTATGAGATATCAGTGCAGAGTTCCTAAATATCAAATTCTTAATAGATCCTTTCTAATCCATATGAGTGTATGTAAATTTTCCATCTATGTAACAAAATATCTGAGACAATTAATACATAAGGAAGATTCATTTGGGCTCACCATTTCAGGGGCTCTAGTCTATAACCAATTGGCCCTATTGTTTTGGGCCTGCTCTTGCATAAGATATGGCAAAATGATATGGTAGGGAAAGGTCTTCACCTAATGGCGGCCACAAAGCAAAGAAACAGGGAATTGGAACTAAGGTCCCAAAAATCCCCTTCAAGGGCCCTAGTGGCTTAACACCCTAAAGGTGTCACAGACTGTCTACTGAGCCTTCAATACATAGGCCTTTGGGATATAGGCATGATCCATATGATAGCAATAAGGATTGAGATAAACATGAAGAAATACAACCAAAAATACAACAGTTCTTAACAAAGATTGAACATGTACTTGTCATAGACAGAACTTCTAAAATGACCCTGAAGAGACATCTTGACCTAATCTTCTTAAGCTGCTAAATACAATTAGATTCACATGACTATGCTACATTACATGGCCTTAAGATAATATCATATAACACCTTTAAAAGTAGACCCACTCTATCTGCTAACACAAAGAACCAGAGAGATTCCCAGCAAGACAAGATTCAGTACATACATTATAGTTTGTTTAGGAAGGAATCACATTAGAAAAAGAATATAGGCTATCTTAGGAGGAGATGAAGCCATCAGCTGATAGAGCCACACAAGTACAAATGTTCTTTCTGTACTTTGACTATTGAGAAATACATACCAGATCCAAAAATCCAGGAAAAGGAAACCTTAGGATTCTGACCAACTGGCTCTGATAAGTATGTGAATGAGCTCTGAAAAGCACCAATATGCAATGTAAAAGCCCAACTCTTCTCTTTACTTCAACCTGGTGATATCTGAGCAGGGTACCAGGTTAAAGTCATCCAGATATGTTCTTATATACAGAACCAAACTAAAAAAATGCAATGAACATTGTTTCATGCTGCTAAGCTCAAAAGAAATTAGTGCACATGAATAAGAAACTATGCTACTTATGAAGAACTTAAACTTAGGGACCTTATTGAAACTTCTGTACTAAATATCTACTTGATCATAAAAAGGTAAATGCATTTTCAAAGCTGGAAAATGACAGCAGTAACCATTATAGCCATCACTACTAAATACAGTATTGTAATTGCTTCGTAGTGTTAGTTCAAAAAGCAAAAAAAAAAAAAAATGAGGTAGAAGAATTAGAAGAAAATGGGCTGGGGATTTAGCTCAGCGGAAGAGCACCTGCCTGGCAAATGCAAGGTCCTGAGTTTGGTCCTCAGCTCTGGGGAAAA